AATCAGACTTCTAAAATATATATTTTTCGAAATTCACTCATTCTCTCTCTCTCTCCGGTCTTCTACAGTCTCATAGAAGTTTCTTTGGAGACTCTTCAACTTTGTTGGTCGCAGATTCTCGCCCAAGGCTCTGTTGTATCATGGGAACGGATTTGCTTGTAACCCAACAACAAATTCAGTGAAACTGAGTGGGGGCAAATAACGTTCTAAAGACAATGTCTTCAAATGCGCTTTAGAGCTTCTCCTCCAAAGTTTCAGTGACCCTATTAACCAACAATTTTTTTGACTAAAATGGTCATTGCCTTATATACTTGGAAAATAAAAGAACATGGGTAAATACACTTACCCGGGTAAGTGTTTCCAAGGAAAAACTTACCCAGGTAAGTAACTTACCGAAAAGCGAACCGGGCCTTAATGTTTATCTATAATAGCAAGTTGAATGTTGAAATTTCTTTTATCAAATTGAGAAAAGGGTAGCTAGTTAGATGAATGGTGGGGTGTAGATTAAGGAGGTGTTCTATAACAATAATGTTTTTGTTTTCATTTGTTTTTAAAATTGTTCATCAGTTAAAAAATTGAAAAGCATGTTATTAAACTGCGTTTTTGTTTTGAAAAGCAAAAAATGAGTTGGTTTTGTTTCAAAATCAATTCACGTTTTTGAAACCATCAAATGATAATTTTTAAAACAAAAGAAAATATTGGAGTCTAGAGATTGTATGCTTATGAAAGATGATGGGCTATGTTGTATGATTTAAAGTAAAAACACGTCTTTAATTTCAAACTAGACATTCAAGAAGACATTTTTGGTTCAGAAACACACACACACACACACACCAGGTGGTTTTGATTTGTTTTTGAAAACAACAACAACAAAAAAAAATCATGTTTTTGAATTCCCCCTTTATTTTCAAACAAATTGGTTTTGTTTTGTTTCTTCCGAACTTGCAACAAAAAGAAAAGGAACATAAATAGGGGTGTCAATTGGACTAGATTTGATCCAATCTGATCCAGTCCAATGTGAGTCTATTGTTAATGGACCAGGTCCAATCCAATCCAATGAATGTTTTGAACCTATTTGGACCAGTCCAATTAAATGTTGGATTTAATGAGAGTATTGAATGCATTTAATATCTTTAAATTATCTCTTTTTAACTCATTTAATATCAAGAACTAATTACCTTATTTGTCCTCATGTTTTTATCATTAAATTTAAATATAGAGGGGTAAATATTATCCTTAAAAAATTCAAAAAATATTCTTGAGGCTATTAATACTTTTTAAAGTAGTATAGATTTTGCTTTTATTTCCATGAGAAATTTTCTTAGTATTCACCGATATAGATATTTCAACTATTCATACCTGAGTTTGTTGTTAAAAACCTTTGTCGGCTGGATTTGTAGAATGTAGCTATTCAGGGGTAAGGAGCTGAACCTTGAAAGGAGGTCTGTGATGCTTCTTCTATCATGGATGGGTCCTTGGGGTTGGGGCATCTATATAGATGTGGTTGGGTTTTGACTTATTCAAATAGACTCCATTTTGGTTGAAATTTTTTTTTTTCAATCTCTTCTGAATTCCACTACTTCCCATATTTGTGGTAATGCCATGGTAGTTCTTCATACTGTTACATAATTCCACCGAATCCAATTGAAATATCCACCTTTACCAAGCTACTATTTGAATAGCAAAGTTAAAATGAGTTAAAAGTTAAAAGGAGCTTAATATTGGACCTCCATCCAAAGACTACTCTTTCATCTTTCACTCACTTCCCTCGAGGGATTCGTGTTTTGAAGTGGGAGACCCAATCATGGCAAAGCACGCTTCTGTGCAGGGGAGCCGTGAGATGCAGCAACGATGACTACGTGCAGATGAGGGAATAAATTTTGAGGGTTCAGCCTAAGGTCAGAAATTTTAGGTCCAAAGTACAGTTAGATAGGTATCAGTTCGGAATTGATGTTAATTCAGAAGTGGATATTGATATATAAAGTGAGGTTTTTTTGATATTTTGAATGTTTATAGATCTACAATGGGATTTAGAAATCTATGTTGGGCCTGTCTGTACTTTTCCAATAAAATTTTAGCTTTAAACGTACCATCATCTATTAAGAACTCCAAAATTCATCATAACCGTATCCATGCATACGTGCAGGGCAGGGAATATAAAACTTGTATATTAAAATTAATAAATATTATAATATAATTAGGTTTAGATTTTAAATGGATTGAATGGGATTAAATCCGAATCTGATTTGATTATTAATGTAAATTGTAACACACAATTATGATCCGATTATATAATTACATAATCTGAATCTGAGATAATAGAATTAGATGTCAGATCGGGCCTTGGATTTAGGGTATCAAGAGGGGGTTGTATGGTTAAACTCGATATCAAGAGGGGGGTTGTATGTTGGATGCGGTGGGCCCAGTGTCAAGGGAGAGACTCAGGGGGTTGTGTGGGACATGGTGACTGGCGAGGCCCAATGTTAAGAGAGAGATAGAGGGGGTTGTGTGGGACCGATGTCATAAGTGGGGTGAAAGAGAGATAGGGAGAGATAGGGGGTTGTGTGGGACCCAATGGGCATAATGTTAGGAGAGAGAGAGAAGGGTTGTATAGAACGTGATGGGGCTCATATTAGGGGGAGAGAGACAGAGTTTGTGTGGGACCTTTGTGTCATAATTGGGCGGAAATGTGGAAGAGAGAAGGGAAGAGGGGAGAGAGAGGGTTATGTGGGACCCGAAAGGGGTTACTAGTTTAGCAGAGAAAGAGATAGAGTAGAGGTTGTGTACTTATGTGGGTTTTATTTAAAAAAAACATTTTAATTTAATGAAAATAATTTATTTTCCATTCTTTCGAAAAAACAACGTTTTTATTTGACAAATTATTTTTATTTTTTATAATGTTTTTCAATGTTGCAAATCGCTGAGTCTCATATCCCCTCTAATGCAATGCAAGGGTCCCTGTTGAGTAGGGGTGGATTCAAGCCGAGTTGAGTTGAATAATACAAGGCTCGAGCTTGGCTCGAGATTGTTCTACAAGGTTCAAGCTCGAGTTCGGTTTGAGCCAGAACCTTGAGTTTGAGCTTGGTTCAAGTAAAAAATTCATAAGCTCGAGCTTGGTTTTGAGAAAAAAATATTTTATAAAAAAAAATTATATATAAAAATATTTTTTACTTGATATTTAAAAAATAAAAAATTATAATAATTAATAATTATAATATTTTTATTATATATTATTTTCTATAATTTTATTATATATATTATATATCAAATATATATGTATATTATATATTAAATATCAAATATATATATATATATATTCGAGCTGGCTCCCGAGCCTCACGAGCCAAGCTCTAGTAGGCTCGAGCTCAACTCATTTAATAGTCAAGCTAGTGAATTAGGCTCAAGCTTGATTGAAATCGAGCCAAACTCAAACAGCTCATGAAAAGCTCGGCTCATTACCACTCCTACCGTTGAGTTCGAATTCCATTAGGGCAATACCCGTTTGAGAAGACTTTAGAGCCTTGAATTGGGAATATCTCCCTACTCATATGCTTTATTTCATGGGGAGATATTCCCACTGCAAGAGGCTGTTGGGACAGTGTGCGCATGGGATTGCCCTGGCCGATCTCTCATGAGCTCACATCGTTTGTCCCGTGAGGACAGAATTTTTTCTGTCCCGTCCAATGAGAGACGAAAACGCGACCCTCCCGTCTTTCTTTCGAAACTAACGGTGTTAGCAGTATGGGCTCTTAGTCCATCTCTTCTTCTCCTCCCTCTCAAGTCCCACCACCTCTTCATAGCACTAAGAAACAGCCCAAATCGCACTGCCATTGGAAACGACTCTAACCATCACCGCTGTCGGAGCAAACCTCGCCGCTACAACCCTCTTATCCCCTCTATCTTCTCTTCTCCTCCCTCAATTGTTGGAGACGGCAAAGCTCCATCGTCCGTGCATGTTTGATAAATTAATTAACCCAAACCACATCAGCTCATGAATTTACTAATTAAAAGCAAGGTCCATCGATCATCCAGCTTGGGCGGTACACATTTACAAAATTGTATTATAGTGCACAAGAAGAAAATTAATATTCCATTTTGATTAAAAGGGCCATGGCTTATAATATGTTTTGTTAGTTGCTATTTGAAATTTTGAATAGATATAGAAAAGGGTGAAGGTCGGCAATTAGGAAAAGCTAAGAGATTATTGTTGACAGTGGAGGTATTAAATTTGACTTGGGAAATGAGGTGGAGGGATGATAATATAACAACTTCTCAACATGAAGCCACGTGAAGGACAGAGTAGTTCGACACACATCAAAATATGTGATTGCCATGTGTTGCACTCTTGATCGGTTGGGTTACTCATCTGTTAAAGAGAAAAATCCAAACATTTGTGTTGTGCAATAGTAGTGTTTCAGTTTGAGATGACTAGGGTTAATAATCCTAAACTGGAGTCCAGAATTACTGAATTGTTATAATTCTGTTGCATTTTATTCGCACTTTTATTCACTTTGTGACAAGTATCCCAAAAAGGGTTGCAGTGGCGAGCCTTGCCCTCTTCAACAGTTGAGGGAGGAGAAAGAGAAGAGAGAGGAGGTGCGAGGGTTGCAGCAGTGAGCCTTGCCGTTTCCGACAACGACGGTTGAGGGAGGAGAAGAGAAGAGAGAGGGGATGCGAGGGCTTGTTCACGGCGGTGAGATCGACGCTGTGTGTTGGTGAGGGTGAAGGGGTGGGAATAGAAAGTTAATTATATTTAATTAAATTTTGGAGTCCAAACTGTCGTTAATTCTGAACTCCGTCAGTTTCAAATGAGATTGGGATAGGATGGCGTGTTCTCGTGTTTTAATTCTGTCCCTATAGGGGACAGACGATGCGAGCTCATCTCTCCTCCTCTAGCTTTTATTAACAACAAAAGTAAAATACAAAATTTAAATTCACGAGGATGCCATTCTTTATCACTTATTTCTCATCATTCGTATTAAAATCATTATCACGTTTAGTAGTAAAACAAAACAACGACAGAAGACAGAGGAGTCGGATGGTTAATCTTCAGTGTCGACGTTGAGGAAGGATGTGAAGCGTTTCATCAGGGCCACGGCATGTTCAGTAGTGGGATTCATGAGATAGAAAACGTGATTCTCCCCGTCGGACTCCATGAGCTCCGCCTTTCCTTTCCACCCGCTCTTCACCAGCGTATCATAGTAAAGCACTCCTCTGTCTTTCAGCACGTCTTTTCCTGCCACCTCCACCAGCACCCGACTGCACCCTAATTTCGACAGGCTGGGTGCACCCTCCGCCTCCGGGTTAATGCGTGGGTCATCGAGGCCCTTCGACGTCGGACACGCAATCTGCCACGTCTTGTCTGCTAGCATCCTCAGATTTTCTGGGGTCTGTGCCTCATTCCCAATCCTTTTTTCCCCCCAAAAGTAAGGACAGATCAAAGCAGCACCCAGAATCTCCACGCCGCCGGGCAACTCGTTGACCTCTTCCCCGGCTCGCATGGCCAGGTTATGGACGATGTTGGCACCCGCGCTGTCCCCGGCCAAGAAAACTCGCTCGAAATCCACATGATCCTTCAACCAAGGCTCTTCGGGGCCGCCGGCCGGGTGGTCCGTGGAGTGGGAGACGGCCCACTTGAGGACCTCCCATGAGTCGTCGTAGGCGATCGGGAGAGGGTTCTCGGGGGCTCTTCTGTAGTTTACCGACACAGCAACCACATTGGCTTGAGCTACCACGGAATTGAGGTAGAAGTGGTAGGTCGGAGAAAAAGCAGTCTCGACGATGAAGGCTCCACCGTGAACGTATACGAGAAGAGGGAGTTTCTGATCAGGTTGGTTGGTGGTTTTGGGGAGATAGATCCTGGCACCTACTTCGGTTTTGGTGTTGATGGTTACATCCTTGGTTGAAACACCGGTTTGGGGATCCAATCCTGCCACGATGATGTCGTTGCCTATAAGCCTCTTTACGTGCCCATCTTTATATTTTATAAAAAATGGAATAAGTTGATAGTCTATTTGCTGAGACGTGCTGCTTGAATCAATCAGAGGAAGAAGAAGAAGAAAAAGAAGAAGAAGAGGAAGAGTTTTGTTTGCATCCATTAGAACAAGAAGAAGACGATGATGACGATGGAGGAAGCTGGATGCTAAGCTTGTTAACATTATGAAATTGAGGGAGGTGGGAGAAGAACCGGGTCAGAGGGCCTATGTGTCCTTGTATGATAACTCGTGCTTCAAAATGAACAACCTCGTTCGACAATGTCTTGATGGTTGGGCTTGCAACTCTCCGATCCGCATAGCTACACGGCTACACGCACCGTCGCCGGCAGAAAGACTCGGTCGAAGTCGATCGACATGATCGTTCAACCAGGCTTCAGGGCCGTCCCCTCTCCAATAGCCAATAGGAGGTAACCCATTATACATCCCTTTGAATTTTTCCTTTGACTACTAGAAGCCAAGCTTAAGCCCAAGAACACACTTGATGCAATTGAAAATCAGGCCCAAAACAAGCCCATCTCGTTTCGATTCCTATCATTCAATGTTTTAAAAATCGACCCGAGGCCGATCCGTTTTTGCCTTTTGGGTCGCGTGTCACCCGTTCGTTTGGGTTAAATGGTTCAAACTGTGTCACATTAGCGTATTTGTATATATATATATATATATATATATATATATATATATATATAAATGGTGTGTACAAATATATATTTTAGTAATAAATCATGTATAAATATGTTTTAGATATGTTATATATTATTTTATATTTAATAAATGTTTTTTATTTAGTTTTTATTTATAAAAATATTAAAAATTGTAAATTGAGGCCACAAGAGGGTTTTTTTCGCAAAAATAGCAGGGCGTAGGCACCTTGGGCGCATAGATCTCGAAAATTTACCAAAAAAAAAATCACCCCAATCGAACACCAGAGTACAAAGTTATGGCCTCTGAAAGTTTGCATGTATTCAGTGTGCAACCTGCGAGCTGATCGCCAAGTCGAACGGGTCAATAGTCAAATCGGATGGGTCAAATGGTTCTTGACCAAGCCAATGGTTTTTGACTATATGATGGGTCTTGACTGAATTGGACCTAGAATCCTTAATTGGGTGATGGTTTGAATGGTTCAATCAGCTGGGTCAACGGCGGGTTGAAACATTGCAATCATTTGATTGGGAAGAATCAGAATCTGATTCTGGAATGATTCCTCAAGAATGACCATTTCCACACCTCCCTTAAGAATGAGAATCCCATTCCAATTAATTCTGATTCTCATCTGAACCAAATTGGTGGGGTAATAGACTATTCCAATTCTGATTCAAGGATAGGTTGTATCAGTTGTAGAAAGGGGATGTTGCTAGTAGCCCTTGTATAGGGCTACTAATAAGTGGGGTCTGACTTTCTGAGTCATGACATGGGAATCGGCTTCAGTCAGGGCAAAGCCCGTTCGAGCAGCTTTTACTGTCTTGCATTGAGAATATCTTCGTACTTATATGCTTTATTTCATGGGTAGATGTTCCCAATGCAAGGTATCAAAAGACTGTTAGAACAGTGTGGGCACAGGTTTGCCCTGATAGAAGCCCATCTCCATGACATGGTGTATCAGTCCCGAACCCATTATTAATTGGTTATTTAAGATGGACTCAAAACCATCCCAATTCAGGCTAATCAGGTCTGATCCAACACCTATGTTAATAACAATTTAAAACTTCATTTTTGATAATATAGTTTCAATAGAAAAGGCCTGAATGTAATCTCTCCTGCAAGCGAAAACTCAATGCACAACTGCACATAACATCCATATTCACATTAGAAATATCTCTCATACATGTATGTTAAATTTATAGGGAGAATCTCATCACTGTAAGATATTTCATACATTAGAAATATCCATCTTCACATTAGAAATATCCATCTTCACATTAGAAATATCTCTCATACATGTGTGTGTAGAATCCCGTCACTGTAAAATGTTAAGGTTGTGTTTGGGAACAATGCAAATATGTATGGGTGTAAAACGGTTCATATAAATTACAAAATGGATTAGTTTTGCATTGATAAATTTACCTTCTTACCAAACAGACTTTTAGCTGTAATGGATATAAACATGAATTCCAATAAAGCATATGCCTTTTTTTTATCAAAAGCCTACTTGAATGCAAATTCACTTTTTTTTTTTATTGATGTACTTTTATATCTTATTATCAATGTAAATATGCATTGGTCTATCATTTGTCAATGCATAAATGTAATGTTGTCAAATACATGCAAAAGTGAGTCAGAGTGCAAATTTACCCTGAACCAGGATTTACACTTCATTTGCATCATTTCCAAATGCAGCACAAAACTGTTTATATGTTGATAAATTAAGTGTTTTTAACAAAAATTATCTTATGTAATTATCAATTTTATCCTTTTAAACATTAAATACAATAAGAACTACCAAAAAAGGAAAATTTTATATATTATTAACTATATAATCATTTCATGTCTCAATCAGTTCCGAGAACAGCAAGAACTAAACTTCAACCAATTATTAATTGGGAACCAGAACCAATTGGTTTAGTCAGTTAATGGACTCGTGGGTCATTCTTTTTGTTGTTAAGTTAGCTGTTTGAAGTCCGAAAAACTAACTTGCTTTGTAAACTTCACCATTTGGTAAAACTATTATATATTGAGACCCTCTTATTTCTTTTCTTACTGGCATGAGTCATTTACATTCTCAAGAAAATTTAGGTCAAGTTGATTTGTAGGAATAGGGGTCTGGAATCGGAATAGGAGTGAATCATTTTGATTCCAACTGTTTGGTTAGGTGGAATCAGAATTTCATTCTTATTCTTGATGGAATGACATTCTCCCATTTGAGAAAATGGTCATTCCCTCCCCTCCCTTGGGAATGAAATCTTATTCCAGCTTATTTTAATTCCCAATCTGATTCCTATCTTAACCAAATGGACCCTTACTGTTTTGATTTCATTTTTTTGTTCTTATCAAATAATAAAGTATTTAGGGAAAATTTCTTAACAGTACCCTGAACTTTAGGGATTGTGTCAAGTTCGTCCCCGAACTTTAAAACGTGCCTCTGTAATATCCTAAACTTTCAAAGTGTGTCTAATAAGTACCTACCACCAGTCAATACCGTCGCGTGACATTAGGTGTGCATTAAATAATTTCAAAATGACAAAACTATCCTTTATGATATTTTTCTGACTATTTTTACCAATTTCGTCTGAGTATTAAAAGAAAGAAATGGGAAGAAGGGTTATGAAACTGGATAGGTAATCACTCGGTTGCAGTTGATCATTGAGCGAGGGAGCATAAAAAGGGGAGAGGGAACTTCAACAATTGATGAATGTCTGGTTTCATAACCCTTCTTCCCCTTTCCTTCTTCTAACACTCAGACAAAATGGGTAAAATTGTCAAAAAATATATCATAAGGGTAATTTTGCCATTTTGAAACCATTTTAATGCACACCTGATGTCACATGATGGTGTTGACTAACGGTAGGGACCTATTAGATACAATTTGAAAGTTCAGGGTACTATAGAGACACATTTTGAAGTTCGGGGACTGACTTGACACAAGCCCCAAAGTTCAAGGTCTGTTTAAGAATTTTCCCAAATATTTAAAATAATAAAAATATGAATAAATTATTGTAAATAACCCATGTTCTCCAAAAAATTTTAAGCAAACCATATATATCTCTTGGAAGTGTAAGAAGCAGGCAATAATCTACTATTTGTCTGTTGAAGAGGAGTAGGGCTGTCAGGACCCAATAAACCCAGTCCAGTTCGGATTTAGTGCATTTGGACTCAAAAGGGATTTTCTCTTTGAGTCCACTAAAATTTTGACATGTCTTTCAATGTCAGATTGGTCATCATCGGCGACCGGCTGAAATTTTACTGCGGGTTATGATTGATAAAAATATTTTTAAATAAATTGATAAATATAAATTTTTTGTAAAGAAATCTAACTAAATATTGACAGAAAGTTCGAAACCCTCATGTTCTTATACTCGAGCTCTTCTCCCCCAACCATTAACGGGAAGACAAAACCTTCCTCACGGTTGTGGCTTTGGATTTGCAAAACAAATCCTTACATTCTCAATCCAAACGCAAGTCAAGTGTTGCTCCTCCAACTATTAATGGGAAGACAAACCTGGTTTTGGCTTTGGATTAGCAAGACATGAAACATCTTCTTCCTCCATACTAAGCTTAAAACAATAATAGCTCCAATTCTCCAAAGATATCTTTTCAAGAAAAATATATTCAAGCAGTCATGCTGTCTGTCACACACAAGGTTTTCTTTCATGATAGGCTCTAAAAAATTTCTATTTTCAAAGGATTCTTGGGTTTCAGATTTTAATACGAAAAAGTGGTATTAGGGATTTTTGGATAAAAATCATTGAGTTCATTAACTTGATCGGTGTTGACAACTTGCCAAAATGAGTTAGAATTAGGATCTTCAGTCTTACAAAGGATTCTTGGACACAAATCAGCGGGTTCATTAGTTTGAAACTTTCCGTTAGAGTTAGGATGTTCAGTCTTACAAATGAGTTAAGAGTTTGAAACTTTCCGTTAATAACATTACTATCATCGCACAGTTGTCATTTTGTTGCAGTTTGAACATCATTGATAAGGCTTAGGTAGTTGTAAGTGGTGGCCAATTAAGCATGAAATGATGTATCAAAATTTTAATAGATTCGAAGATAAAATCCCTTCGAGTCCAAACGCAACCAATTCAGACCCGACCCAAGCTATTATATATATAATATTTAAATAAATGTATTTATTTATTATTATTATTGAGTCTTTTGGGTTTGACCCAATTATTCCAAGAACCGATCGATTCGATTCAGGGTCCTCAATATTTCATGTCGGCACAGACCCGACCCATGACTTAGGTAGCCTTATTAAGCCCATTCATGGCCCTATGAGCCTTCAAATTGATCAGCAACTTGGTTACTAATATTTAGTCTCCAACTTTGAGAAGGGTAACGGTGTATATAATTGATTTGCACCCTCCCAAAACTCATGGTGGGTTGAAGTTTTAGAATCTAAACGCTCTATGCACAAGAAAATATAAAAAGAATCCATATCTAATTCCATATTATTTATTGTTATATATAAATAATAAGCAAAGTAAAAAAACATGAAACATGAACTAATATCCAAATTTTCAATATTTATCTTCCAACAATATACAGATTAGGAAGGGTTGGAATTAACATAATACCACACCCTATTTGTGCCTATACCGATTGGGAAATCCCAAAACCTATTCTGCCCTAAAATCCGTTATTCAAGCAAAAAAAATGTCCATTCATCAAAGCAGTGTAACACGGAACTGATTTCATGGTGCAATTTCGTGGATTTTATTTAGATACCACAAACATAATATGATAGTACCCGTGCATCAAATACCGGGAATTGGGTTTCCACCCTAGGTGTGGAATCACGCATTTACTGAAACACACCAAGGAAATTATAAACAAAAAAAGAAAACGAGAGGAAGAAAAAACTAGTTTATTTAGAAAATAGGAAGTCCGAAGCTTCTTATTTCATTCATATAACTTCAGGCTTCAGAGTCGATACTTTACCTGTTACCTCATATAGACTCCAATGGA